CCCCGGAATGTATTCCAGTTTAATCTCAGAAGCAAACAGCTTTTAACAAGTATCCTCTAGAGAGAGGACAATACGTTGCCAATTTATTTCCTAATTGGTCAGATAGTGGAAACACTTGTTTGGTGTGGCTGTTGGTATGTTTGAGGATATTTATTGCTTGCTCTTTCTCCAAACAGCATTGTTTCAGAATTAATATTATGCTCGAAAAGATTGGAAATTGTGGTAATGACAAACTCTTGTGAAGTCGGGCTGGTAATGAGGCTACAGTTGTAGAAATTAATAATCATAAGAGTTGTTGACACTAACTTTGTGACAGCCCTACTAGTGGAGCTCTTCTGTGCTAATACATGAAGCTATTAAATCTATATGTCTATTAGTATAGAATTGACTGTTCCAGTTGGAAGGGGCCTACAGTGATCATCTGGTCCAAATAGGAAAGGATTATCCCACTAACTTACCTTTTTTTTACATTTCTGTAGATGAAAAGCAAATTAACGACTAAATGGCATGAAAATAATAAAGGAAAACTTAAGCCTTATCCAAGCCTGTGTTCTCCCTCCAGGTGATGGGGATTTTAGATGTGTGGTTACAGCCTGTCGGGGAAGGAGTTAGGTGTCTGATCTCACACAGTATGTGTGCTAAGTGACTCAGGATCTGACACAGAGTAATTGGGGAAAATTGCTAGTAATAGATCTGTACTTGTTATAATGGTATCTGTGTATCTTTAAGAATTAAAGCAAATGTATGAACTTTCCTGTTACCTGAAAATTACACGAGCTAGATGTGTAGAATAAAGGATAGATATGTGTAAAATAGGGTAGAAGGAGATGCTGACGCTCCTTGAGTATTGACCACTTTAACAGCATTGAAACCTAAGTTGTTAGCATTTTCAGACTTTGATTGTAGTCGCATTGTCTTGATGAACTATATCAAAACTAACAGAACTTTCCTTTGACAGCATAGTGTGATGGGATTGCTTGTTCAAGTGTGATACTTCTGTTTCTGTGAATGATACGTTTTGTACATAATGAATACTGTGACACATCAGAAAATGTTGTATTGTGTGACATTTGTTGAGTTTCTTAACTGTAAAATACAAATGTTTGAGAGCTGAATGTTGTTTTTTGCCTGGCCGGTATATCAGTTCTGATACGGTCCATCAGATCATGACAGGTAGCTCTTTTGAAAAACTTTAAATGGAGAGTTGTTTAATTTTGAATTCTAATTAAGCCCAAAGGGAACTTAATTTATTGAAAGTATATGTATTGTAACAAGTCACTCCTAGCATATTTAATTATCCTGTTAATTTTTTTTCTAAAAGCATAATGAATGGATTACACAGGACTTAAATAATAATTTGAGCAAGCTTGAAATGTAATATGAGTTACATAGTTTTCCGTTTTAATGCAAACAAGGTCAGAGTGTTAACTATAGAGGAAGCCTGGCACTGAGCATACAGCTGTAGAACTACTTTGGATGACCAAGCCTCATGAATAAAGCTTGCCTTTACAAATAGATGTGCTCAGTTTAGGTAGATCTGTTTTAGCATTACTGGATGCTAATAACCCCAAAGAATTTTTTTTTTCTTCTTCTTTTTTCCTATTAAAAAACTCTTTAGCATTTCAAACAGTAGCGAATGCTAGCTTTGAGTAGTATATTGTCTTTTGTTTTTCCAGGTCTATAAAGGTGAATTTCAGCTTCCTGACTTTCTTAAAGAAGTGCCACAGGTACAGTATTGGATTAGTTTCCTTTTTGTGAGTGTAGTGGCAAGTCAGTATGCAACTAGTCTTTATAAACCACTTCTTCATAAATTTGATTTTCTGTTTGATTGTAAGAGAATAGATGACTAGAGATTACAAGAGAATAGCTTGTCCATGAGATTGAATCTCCAGTGCTCTTGCACTCCGCAGTCCCAAGCCTCTCTTGAGTTTATCTGTAACTCCAGTGTTAATAGTAAACCTCAGCTCACTGACTATTGCCATGAAACTCAAGGAAAGTTTGACTCTCTTTTGTGTAGACCAAACCGCAAAGTTTGTTACTTGTAGAGAAGCTTTATCTTTTGTTGCCTTGCATGGAAAGGTTTAAAGCAAGTATAGTACAGAGAGAAGAGCTAAGTAATGAGAGATTTTTAAAAATAACTACTACTGTATCAGGCAAAACAAACAAAAACAGTCCAGCCATGGATAGTGATGGTGTGTTGATTTAATAATCAAGTGAGCTATTGAACTTTAGATTTTATTGAGAATTCATAATCTGGTACCCTTCAAATGCTATTAATTGTCATCAGCTACCGAAGGGACCTAACCTTTGCAACAGTGGTTGAAAAACCAAAATCCTTATCCTGGAGCTCTCTTAAACTGCAGGATCTCTGGATACCTTCCCTGGCTATGTGAATGTGTGGGAGGCACGCTTCCAACCTCATGCCTTTTCCTCATGTAGGCATGATGGAAAGGTTTTGGGCTGTAACCACTAGCCCATTTATGGACACAGGAGTTCAATTTGGAAGATGGCATCCCTTGCTGCTGGGCAGCTCTTCTGTGTCTCCTGAAGGTAACAGAGCAGACAAGATGGACTTGTGCCATGGAGCTGCCTCTTGGAGTGCTCATTTTCAGTAGCTTGAAGGGCTTCTCTCTGTGTGGGCATTTTTTTTCTTTTTTCCTCTCCAATGTATAGTGAAATTAATTCTCCCTCCCATAGCCTTGCAGATTTAAGCTCTGCTAATGTAGCCATGAAAAATCTAGACAAGGAGTAAATAATTTATTTTGTCTTTATCAGAGAAATAACAAAAATATTTGTATTTATGAAATAACTAGAACATGTAGCAATTGGTTTTGTTTTCTTTTTTGTAGGCTGTATAATTGATGGTAAATGTCTAAATGCCATCTAAAGTGCTCTGTACATTGTGCTTTGATAGAAAAAAAACCAAGAAGTGGCTCATCACTGTTACTGTCTCAGGGTGTAAAGCTATTAAGTAGAAAAATACTTTTTGGGTGTCCCCCCCCAATTCCTCCTGCATATAGAGGAGTATAGCATTGCAGAATTGGGAGAAGAAAGCATTTTTAGAAGCACTGTGCCTCCAGAACTGTGTATCTCTGTTTGCACTACTTTATATTTCTACTCGATTTCCCATCCTTAATGATACATACAGTACAGAAGTTTATTTAGAATGTAAGTGTAAGTAGCCTATCAAAAGTAAAATAATTTGCAATGTCTTTATTTTTCAAAGAAAAAAAAGAGAATGGGCACAAGCTTTCTTGACTTTAGATCCCAATATTAGGAAAGGACTCTCTGATTAAGACTTTTGTTAGATGCAGAGATTGAAGAATACACAGGAGAATCTACCACATGCAAGTAAAGCATTTTGACTTACTCCATTCAAATGAGAATTAACTGATTAAAAAGGAAAACTGGTTTCTTTTGTTCCAGCCAAAGAAGACAGTAGAAAGGAAGTCTCGTGGCAAGATAAAATGAACATGGATCAGTAAAGTCGAATAGCTGTAGTGTCTGTTTCATGTTTTCAGAATAATAACTTTTTGCTGTGGACACCAAATGTTTCTGATAAATCTTTGTGTGATCTCTAATGTGGGCTTCGCTCTTCTACTGGATGTTTGCCTGCTCTCACCCTTTGAACAGTTAGTGCTCATGCTTTGCAAGTTGTGCTCAGCTAATAGAAAACCATTAAGAACCTGGCACCACGCAGCTGAATGTGCTGTTGCTCACAGCGTTGTTCACTCTCAACTGCTGGCCAAAATGTCTATCCAGCTTAACGGCAAGACAACTATTTAAATGTGTGCTGCTTAAAAGTTATTGTCAGCAAATTGTATTGAGAAAGCGTGCTGTAGTTATTTCGAATGCTTTCAAATGCAATTATTGTGGTTATTTCAAGATTATGTACAACCTTATCTATAAAGTTGCAGCATACATGGCTGCAAGCATAGGGTGTGTCAGATCAGGAGGAGATTAAATATTGCTGATAAGGATTTCTGGAAAATGCAGGGAGATGAGCTATCTTTAAAATTTAGCACACTCTGCATAGATAGCGGACTAGCAAAAGAAATGATCCTTGATCTGCCTACAGTATCTGTTAGTTAAATTATGCTGTTTGTATCTTCCAGTTATCTTGTGATACATCAAAAGAACTTCGTCCACTGTTACTAGTAAATGTCCTCTTTCAATCCATATGATAGGGAAGTTTCAAAATGGGACTCCGCTAAATTTCAGGAGGTAGTTTTATACAGTTAGCTTGGTATGATTACAATATTTACTGAACTCTGAGCAGATTTATCCAAAGTAAAGAAAGATCATTTATAAAGCAAAAAGACGCTTTGTGAAATAGTAAGAGAATATTGCTTAAACTATGAAACCTGATGCTGGAGTTGAAATTGATGCTGATAGTGTTCTCCTTTAGTATTATACTAAAGATAAAATTAACTAACTAAAGAGCTAGATGGTTTTGAGTACAAACATTGGTGTTGATAATGATATTTTTTTCCTCTACTGCAGCTAATTTAACTTTAATTATTTACTTTACAGACTGAACCTATGGAATAGAAGATGCAATGGGTATCTCTTGCACAGAAGGTAATAAAAGAGCATGCAGTCCTGCTCATTTGCTCTTCTTGATTTAGTTAAGTTGATTTTTTTAAAAACTTGCATAACTCCATGTAAGATTCTGGGTAAGAAAAATATGAAGATAGGGATCTTGATTCAGAATCTGTAAAAATCACATTGAGGTAAGTCCTAATGGTGAGAGCTACAAAAGCATAGTTCATGTGCTTTAAGAATCACAATGCAGTTCTACATGGCTCATCACAATTTGCAGTATTTGCTATGCTATTGGATTGTCAGAACTATTTTAGAGCTTGAAACTGAAGGAGTACATAAAACTATACCTCTACTCATCCAGGCATTCTTTAGCAGAGTTTCTTGTTCACTTTGGTATCTGTGCGTCTTTCAGTACTATGGCGTACTTGCACAACAAATTCAGGTCCCCATTTTAACAAAACAGTGAAACTTTGAAGATAACTTTTAATCATCTTTGTCCTTCATTTTTAAATCAGTTGTCCTTTTTAGATAGAGGAAATGGCTAAAGATGAGATGATTTGTATAATTTGCTTTTAATATGTCCCATAGCCAGTATTTTCAATAAACTGCATATTAGTTGTTAAATTAACAATGGCAAGATTGTGCAGGGAACTCAGTAAATTTGAGACTAGTTAATGAATGAACGGTGCAAGATTTACTGTATTAATCCAAGATTTTTATTTGTCAACCATGTCATCTAGCTTGATGACAAAAGATGGCAAAATGCGTCCAGTTTAAATACAGCCAAAAGCAACGTGCCACACTAATATACCCAGCATAGATATTTATTATGTGGCCATAAATATAGCACACTCTGTAGCCCTGAATAGAGCCACAAGTATCATACCAATTAGAAATCATGGATATAAAACTTTTCCAAAGATTAATTGCAGGCCTTCACTCTGAAATTGATAGAGAAACCATAATCTTTTCATGTAGTCAGTGTTAAAATGCCTAAAACATCTACTTCATTTTGCCACTTACCTCTTTGAGAAATGTATTTAAAATTACAGTATTTCTATCTAAAGCTGCTGCCCAGTTTCTGAGAAACCAAATTGTTAACTTCCCAGCAGTAACTACCACTGGTACACTGTAATGGAAGAGACACTTTAGGCACATAAATGCAGCCCACTTTCACAAGTGTTTTGAATGTAAGTGCAAATTCAATTTATTTTTTTAACATCTAAATATGCTCCAAGAAGTAACTCCAACGATAAATGATGGAAAAGGCAGCCACATTCCTTACAGGAAAGTTGTTGGTTTTTTTTTTTTTAGTGGCTGTGGTTAGTCTTGACAGTGACTTTTCACCTCCTGAAATAAGTGATTAGTGTTAATTATGCATTATTTGTAATTACAAAATGTTGTCAAGGATAAAACCAGAATATTGCATTGAAAGCTCAAACATAACTTTATTTTTATTTTTCTTTAGAGAAAAGACTGCTGCCTTTTCAATGGAAGGGATCTTACAAGGACTGTCCCACTGAGATCAGCGAGGTGTACTGCTCATGGCCTGCTTTTTTCAGAATTTTCTCCCCCATTTCTTTCATACTTTTTTGTTAAAAAATTTTTGCTGTTGTGAGCGCATGTAAACCTGTTTAAAAAAAAATCACTGATGTTAATATAGAACCATATTACATTCGCACAACTATTTTTTTAAGGTTTTAAACAATGCAAAGCAATGCCTCTGCAATGTGTCTGAAGTTGCTATTCTGTCTTAATTACAAAATTCCATCTTCAAAGATTTTTTTTTTTCCTGTAGCAGTTTGGTTTTAAATGTATGAAGCTTTCAAAAGAGTGGTCTGTGCTTGTCCTAAAAGATTTTTGGTGGAACAGTTGTTTGTTTTTATTCACACGTGGAAATTGTTAAATATCTTTTATTTAAAAAAAAAGTTGATAAATTACATGAACAATTACAATTCAATGATCTTTTGTATTTTATTTTTCAAAATAAATGCTTTAAATGTGATTTTTTTATTACTGTGTTTGTCTCAGAGTTAAGATTTAAATAATTCAAGATATTGATGTATTACTTGGATGGAAGACATGATCTAATGTCCTGGGTTTGGATCTCTTTAAGGTTTGCAATTGAATGCATTTTGTTTGCTTTTAATAGCTGGGTGATGAGGAAAAAGTAAATTAGAGTATCCTATTGAGAGGTATAAAAGAGGTAACTTGAGAGCTGTTTAGTGCAGGAAAAAGTAGGTAATTTTTAGCCTATTGAATTTGTTCCTCAAAGGCAGTTGTGTTCAGACAGGTGCTGCTGGGATGAAACTGCTTCCGAAAACCCCGCTGTGAAACTTGTATCCTAAAGCTTTGAGCATCTGTCAGTCGATGTGGAACATAATTATTCAAGTAAGGTGTTTTGGGGATGGTTTTTCGTTTGTTTTCTGCTCACTTCAGTAGATTTTGGCATACTGAAGGTGGCCTTAGCCTTCTCCACTGATTCTTTCCAAAATGCTGGTGTTTCCAGAAATTCTGCGTCTTAGGAGTTGAAACAGTTTTGCTTTTCCTCTGTTTCTTTTGTTGCTACAACTCCATTTTGAGACCAGTAACATATATTTGTAAAAACAAGAAGCGAACGAACGACCTTTTGAGTGCCTTCAGGAAATCGTCCAGTTTGGTACAGATTCACCAAATCCTTACCAAAGACTGTTGTTTGCAAAAGTAAAGCCGGAGCATCCCCTGGTGACACCATGGGGAAATGCTACCCCTCGCTTTCTCCCTGGAAAACGCCGGCAGCTCTGCCGATGACACTGCCCCGCCCCGAAGCTGCGGCTGCCTGGGGCGGCAGGGACCGGCCGGCGGGCCCGGCCCCGGCGGCTCCCTTTCCTGGTGGAGGGAGAGCGAGGGGCCGGCACAAGCGTTTCCCTCACGGAAGGGGTTATGGGCGTTTCCCCTCATAGATCAGCAAAAATGAGGAAAAAACCGAAACGAGCCCTGGCTGTGTGAG